CCTCCTGGCCTCTCATCATCACCCACGGCCTCCCACGAATGTCCCCCGGGGACTGCAGGGGCACCCATATGTCCCTCTGCCATGGCTGGCACTGGGAAGCAGGTGGTGGGGAAGGGTCCTGTGGGGAAGGATCCTGTGGGGCAGGACGAGGTCCATGCTCCGTGGGTAGGTGATGGGGTGGCCATGCAGCCCTGGTCTTGCAGCAAGTGGGGGGACTGGAGGCTGTATCCAGAGGCGGGTGGTCCCTGTTGCATGTTGGCCGTCGGAGTATTGCTTCGTGCGTGGGATAAAACGGTGCCCACCTTACCCTGCCTGCTGTCAAGGTCCAGCACCCACAGAAAGCCCATGGAAGGGCACGCTGGGTCTGTGGGGGTGCATGGGTGAACTATTGGGAGCCTAAACTGGTGGGTGAACCGGCAATGGGAGGAGAGAGCAGAAAGTGAGGTAGAAGGACCCAGGCGGGGAGGCTGGTGGAGGAAAGCTGAGCACTTTGGAGGCTGGGGAGCCTGTGGGATTGCGGAGGGTTTGGCAGACGTGACTGGTGGCTGCAGAAGAAGACCCTTGGCCAGGGTAACCCCGGTGCCTCCCCTCCCTGTGCCACCATGCTCTGCTGGCCAGCTAGCTCCTGCCTTTAGGACCAGGGATGAAAACCGCCCCCCATCCCTAGGGACAGCAAGGCTTCTGTCCTTTACAACCATCATCGTTGGTGGGACTTGCAGGAACTCAAAAACCACAATGACCTATATCACAGAGGAGTGAAATGGCTAAGGATATGCCTGAAGTGGTTTTGCAGCGAGGAGAGTTTCAGCTTCAGCTCCTTTCTTCTGCCCTGGGGTTTCCTCAGACTTTCCCCTGGCTCCCTCCAAAACCCTCTGCCCCTGCGGCCAGGTGAAGCCCGGCCTCACCAGCCTTTCTAGGCAGTTTTGGGGCAGTGGGGCGGGTGCCAGGCCAGGGAGGAAGCACAGCTCTTGCCTCACAGGGGGAAGTGAGAAACTGCTGTGGAAAGTCAAAGAGAGGCAACATCCCCCCCCCTCAAAAAAACCCACTCTCCCCACTCCCCGTCCTGTCAGCCAGTTCCTGGGGTGGCTGCAGGGGAAATGGAGGTGTCTGGGCTCAGCTGGTCCCCAGCCATGCAGACGGCCACGTGCAGGGGACGTGCGGTGAAGCTGGGGCAGAGGGAGCCTCTCCAGCTCAAGGTACCCCCTGCGACCACTGTGGTGGAGACCCCTGAAACCAGGGGAACGGGGACCCCATACAGACCCCTGAGCCTGGATTGGCAACAATTTCACTTTATTCTGTCATTTTTACAACCATATTTTCTGTCTCCCTCTGCTCTCCATGCAGCCAAGACGGACATCCCTCTGCCCTGTACATAAGGATGGAGAAGTACACATGGAGAAGGGGGGGTTACAAATCTCCCCAGGCAGGCAGGCTGGAAAGGGAGGGAGCACTGCCCCACTCTGCTGGCAGGACATGGGGAAGACTTTATGCACACCCTAACAGAGAGGGGATCGGGCTGAGCCACGGTGGTCACCAGGGAGGAAGCGGGAGAGGAGCCTGACAGTCCTGCTCCCTTTCCTGCTCATCCCTGTCTCCCGGGAGCAGTCCTTCTTCCAGCACCAAAACGTCCCCTGGCCTGGCTTCAGCTCATTTCCCCACTCAGATGCACAAGGGTTGCTCAAAATCACTTCACAAGGCCACGTGCAGAGCATGGGGATGAGGAGATGCTCGATTTGTCCTGTGGGGATGTCCCTCCTGCAATGGGCAGCATGGCTGCTGCAGATAATTGGGACCCCAGCACTGGAGCCTCCACAACTCCTTTCAGTGAGCCACAGGCACCTGGAGCCCCAGGGGAGAGTTGCTGGGCATGTGGAGCAGCCCCTCCACCGTCCTCAGCCCCAAGGCTGAGACGATGACCCATCCCATCCTGGGTCATGTGAACCCTCAACCAGCTGAAGACTCACTTCCGCCACCTTGTTTAGGTCTGGGAGAGGAGTCATGGTGAGGAATGTGGGTCTTGGCACCTGTGGCAGCTCCTGTGGTTCCCCTTATGGGATGGATGCCACAAGCCCAGCTCCAGCACCACAGCAGGGAAGAAGAGGGATGGTTACCCTCCAACAGCAGTGTCTAGTCCTGCAGCCCCAGAGGGAGCTCAGGCTTAGGCAGGGGGTCACCCCGCTGTCATGAGAGGGATCAGTGGGTGACTCTGCCATCAGCTGTGGCCCTCGGTGGCCTACTGGCACCTGGTGGCAGTGCTCCCACACATTGCTTGGCTACCGCTGCTCAGTCCCCAAAGCCTCTTGCAAGGAAGCCATCTCCCCGAAGGAAGAGCTCACCCAGGCAGCCACCAAGACGGCACTTAATGCAAATAATCCCCCCCAGGCACTTCTAATTGCCTAACCACACCCTCCAGGTTTCTCACAGAAGCTGTTGGTCAGGCTCTATTCAGGCAGGGGGATCACCTGCTATAATTACTTGGGAACTGCAATCCCACACTAACAAGTTTGTTTCCAAAGCAGAGCCCTTCCTGCACAGTAAATCCACTCGCGGGCGGGTGAACAAGACCATCTACAGAGACATGCCTTGGACCAGCACTGCTGGCCAGCTCTGGAGCACAGGCAAAGCCTTGAAGACACATAAATTAAGTCAAAACACCTACGCTCGCATCACTCCCTGCCTGGTTTTGTGCGGTGTGGAAACATCCATCAGCGGAAGCCCTGTCATCCCAAGTGACATGTGGTATTTCTGCAGCCACACTGAGCTGAAGTGACGGCTGTCTGAGGCTGTAATGACAAGCTCATGGAGCTCCTCTAGACCAGCAGTCTCCGTTGCCTGCCCCTGGTCCTCCCTGACTTCAGTGATTGTAGGTCAGAGCAAAGACAGATTTTTCCCCCCTCTTCCCTCTCTCGCTCCCTGCTTGGGAAGACAGAGTTGTTTCCCATCCCCGGGGTACCTGGCTGCGGAGGGGGTTCCCATGAGTGCCGGTGGATGCCTGCCACAACTTGAGAGTGCCCAGGGGGAGGAGAGACCTGGACATGATGGCGTGCAGAAGGCTGGGGGGCAGGATTGCGAATGGAGCAGATGCTGGATGTGCCTTGCTCCATATGGCCCCAAGCCTCCTTTTATTGAGGTCATTAGCAAAACATTGAGCTAATGGCAGTAGAGTGGGACTTGATCCTAATGTAACTCCCTGCTTCCCTCTCCATCTTCCTTTCCCCTCCTCTTTCTGCTATTTCAGTCCCGTGTTCCCAGGAGCTGCCTGTCCAGCAGCAAGCCCATCCTGGCACGGCAGCAGCCTCGCACCACCCCCCGCCATGCTCCATCCTCGCTGGCCACATCTCCTCTGCCTCCTCCAATGGCATGGCCGTGGCAGCTGCCGGCAGTTCGGCTTTCTCCAGTGCTTACAGGCATAACCTGGGACTCGGCGCAAACAGGAAAGTTGAAAAGGGCAGTGATCCTAGAAGGCTGATCTTGCTCGAGGCAAAACTCCATTCTCAGAGAGCTCACATCTGTGCTAGGCTTTGCCAGCCCTGGGGCCGGGCTCTGAGCGTCGGCAGGGGGCAGGGAGCAGCCAGAGTGCTCCAGCCCTGTTCCCCTCGCCCTCAGGCTCTCTCCTCGCTGGAACAGTTCTGG